AAAAGGTTTTTTTTAGTGATAATGGATTTCGAGATATCGTAGAATTACGCACTAAATGGACACACTATATAATGTTCGTGGAACATTGTGCGTGCTATAGGGAGGATAGGGAGAGGCCTTTTAGGCCAGTTCAACTCTAATTTTCTTATTGAGCTAAGCATATTAACTACTTCAGAACTATGTTTTTTCACGTGTGTAGAAAAAAAATCTGTTCTCGATCACCAAAGTAGCATTTCACGCACTATAGATACAAAAATAACTATTGTGTTTTCCTGGTAACTATAACCACTCCACTTTGAGATACTATTGACTTCTACCACGGTTAACTAATAAAAGTTGATATTTTAATTTAAATAGAGAGAAAATCTAAAAAACGCTATCACAACTAACTACGCACGTTGTAATAAAATCAAAATGACTTAATTCCTAACGTTGGGAACAACAAACATTTTAACGGTCGCCCTTTCGAGTTCTCGTCCTAATTGTTGGTTTTTGGACATTAGCCGGCTGGGTAATTTACAGTATCATTACATGCGTGATCCTCTTATGTAAACTGATAACATCTCATCGCGATCACTCTTGCTCAGTGGCCATTGTTGTTTTCGGGAACATTAAGCCCACATTCGCTTCCGTCCAGTGATTACATTAGATTACTTGAAACGAGTGGTGAATTACCTAAATTGATGTCATGAAAATATTATGATGATTGCGGTGTAGTGAGATTGATTTGAATATATTTAGGTCTATATCGATGATATTGTTTTGATGCTGTCAATTTATAACATGTTCAATTGCTTCTGATGGCAACACATAAATACAATATCATGATCATTACCCTGCGTTCATATATTATGCTCTTAAGAGTAATTATTAGTTGCAGATTCCATTTTCATTAATAATATATCAGAAGAATAACGATAGTCCAAATGAGTCTTTGTTTTTAATCTAATGAGTTAGGAAGAACTCCGAGAACAATTATAAAGTTATTGAGCTTTTGTCGATGTTCGAGGATTATATATATATATATATATATACATATATGGTATATCATTACACACAAAAATTAGTATTGGTGGTATTGGAGAGTGAATTACATCAAACTTGAAATAGAATATCAATAACAATTATAAACGTCAAGGCGTGGAGCTATGACCATCAACAGAGATAATTAAGATAATTGAAGGTTTTATAGGAAGATCTATAAGATCAATCGAAATAAACATGGGGATGCGATTAGAAAAACTGAAGTTATATATGGTTGGTTTCTAATGGATGCTGAAAATCGAACTGAACAAATTATTAGGTCCTACTATCGTTTCCTGGTTGAAATATTGACTGATCAACAGCAAGAATTGTAAATATGTATTTTATGTAAAACGAATCAGCCTTGTCTAGTTCCTAATGAAATGTTTGGAAATAATTCTAGATAGGGTCATAACAGAAAGAGATCTGTGTCATTATTCCCTACATATACCCAGGAAAGATCAGTCATTTCCTAGATAACAAGAAAATTTGCAGCTTCTTATTCTAAAAACGTCAATGCTAGATTGAGGAATCAACGAATAAAATTAGAAAAAAACCAATGATTGAAAATAGGTGAGGGAGTTATACCTAAAATGGCATACTTGAGTAAAATGACATACGGGCTTCATTTTGATTTCAGAGCGTCCAACTAGAGAAGTGAGTGCCAATAGTGTTCATACATACGTCAATGAATAAATGAAATGAAATGAGTTCAATAAGACATTTAGTTAAAATGAGATGAAATCAGATAAAATTAGATGAAATAGATCGGTACGAGCTACATATACAAGTATATCACAAAAATTGTACATCACTAATACATACAACAATGAAACGATGACAAAATAGTTCGAAGTTTACTTTCGACGTGAAAAAAATGCAAGAAATTCATCAAATGTATAAGAACTTTCTTCAATTAGAATATTTTTGTCTCGATTCTTGAATGCCTGTAAATTCGAAGATTGGCCTCTGAGTTGGTCTGGAAGAACATTGAAAAATTTCATGAGATATTTGAATGAAGATTTGGTTCTTGAAATCCTTGGTTTCGGTAATTTTATAATCATTTTTCCTCTTGTATTATATGTATGTATATCTTCATTTCTAGTTATTCCAGCCGAGTATTAGACATGTCTTTCTCCATGTGACTGAGATATTCGTATATGAAGCATGAGCGTAGTGTTACAATATTGAATCGTTTGAATAATGGTTTGCGATGTACTGTAACGCTTACACCTGCCATTATCCTTAGAACTTTTTTTTGTAAAATGAAAATTTATGTAGAATGAGTTGATGCACCCCACACTATCAAGCCATATGTCATTACTGAGTGGAATATTGCAATATAAGACACTCTGAGAAATTCTTCGGTCAGTTTACCCTTTCTTAATATACAGGGTGTCCGCTAAAAGGAGGTCAATCCATTAACCACATATTCCTGGAACAAAAACAATATGAGTTTCTAAATATCATTTTTCATTTTAGCCCTTCATATTCGGTATTCAGGGTGTCAAAGTTGGAAATTAAAAACTGTTTTTTTCTAATTACTCGCGTATTTGATAAGATATTAATCTCAAAATTGGTACATTACTTCAGCACAAAGAGTTACATCGTGTGAGGAGAACAAAACAGAAAATAACTGTCAAATTTTCAAGATACTGGGGGTCAAGTTCACACTTACCCCCATATTTTGTTTGTACGTGCGCTAATGACTTCACCCCACACTGTAGAAAATTCCTCTGAGTGAATGAATATGTGGTTGTGAGTGAATTTACTGATTGAAATTTTTGAGTGAATTCTCAACTCAAACTAGATATTTCATCAAGTTCTCATAACAATGAGAATGTTAATAACAAATTTGATTGAATCGGTTCATGAATTACCATTTTACCATTTTACACAGTCAAGTAGGATGAAATTTCAACTCAATCGGCCGTGGACCGAAATTTACTCATTATTGCGTGGACATTGAGTGAAATTTCACTCTTTTTTTTTTTAGTGCGAGCAATTTAACTACATTTCTGTCTCACCCTCTGTTCAACTTGAAATTCAGAACTTGAAACTGTCTATTATTGAAAGTAAGACAGTCACTCTCATTCCAATTTGAATAATTTGTTCAGTGTTGGACATGTAAGGATTTCTCCATTTTGATCACAGCGGATTACTGAAACGTCATCAGCATAGCCAATAGGATAGGATGTATACTTTCACTAACATGAACTAAGTTGAACATCAGATCATTCACATAGATAATGAAACGTACAGGTCCTAAAACTGATCCCTGAGGTACTTCGTGCTCCGTTGTTACAACGTCAGATACACCGTCTTGCCATTTGACTCTAGCTCTTCTATCCGTGAGATGAGACATGAATAAGTTCAGGTGATTGCCTCTTACCCCATAGTGCTCGAACTCTTTATCAAGATATTGTGATTAACAGTGTCGAAGGGGCGAGAAATATCGTAAAATTTTGCAGTATAGTGTGTTTGATTTTCGAACGCTTCTAATACTTTTTCACGAGGGTTGCCAAGTGCAGTAATGGTCGATTTGTCACACCTATAGCCATGTAGGAAATTTGTTTGTAAGTTTCATGATTCAAAATAATCTATCAGCATTTGAGTATAGTGTTTTGTTAATTCGTCCTTTGTTTCCTCTTTCATCATTGATTATATTCCATGCAGCTTTTTGTTTGTTGTGAGATTGGTCGATGTATTCACGCAGATGTTTTGGAGATCGGACTGTTTGATTTTGTTTCTGTATATGTTCAGGGTATTCATGTTAGTAGCACTCTGTTTCACGGTTTATACCTTATGGTGTCTCTCTGATAACCATGGTTCCATCGTTTTTCAGAATTGTAGGTATCCAGTGAAATAATCAGATTTGATAAAAATACTGTGAACACGTGTTGATGATTTGAAGCTGCGTTAGTCTCTGATGCTAGGATGATCATTATTCTTCATTTTCTGGATAGAATCGAACATCAATCAAAACTGTATCTTTCTGGCATTCGATGCATTCGGGGTGGAATTACACACGGCTTCATTGTGTCTCATTATTCTGGAAATCCATAAGTAGAGAGAAATGTAAACACTGGACCCACAGTGAGTCTGCCTTTGTTCCAGCAGGACATAAAATCGTATTTTGTGAAGTTTGTCGTTAATCTCTTTAACCATGTTTTCGCTTATTATCTACAGGTATGTCATCTCACCCATAAATTATAAGCCCAAGATGAAATTTTTTTCAATTTTTCATTACATCATGAGTTCGGAAAATGTTCAATATGAATAACATTTATGAAATAGACATGCTTCTTGATATCTGAACAATGGTGTGCGAATAAGTAGCTGTAAAGAATTTGTCTGATCTCTATGAGCCAAAATGCTAAGGGTATATCATTTTAGGCAGAACTATCCTATTAACGTAATCTCATCACTGAATGGAAAATCGTTCAGTTCCAGGGCAACTTCTGCCAAAAAGAGAACTGAATCTATTTTTATATAGGACCAAAGCTATAATACTCTTGTGTTCCCATAACAACTGCATGCGGCAAAAATATATTCGGATCAAGAGGATGGAAAAAGGAAGAATTACCTACTGCTCGGATCTACCAAGAGTAAGTTATTCGAAGCAAAACCATTAAATGACATATAGCCATGCAGATCCTCAAATTAAGTGGGAATATCTTGGAAATTCTGAAAGAACTGCTTCAATACCAACTAGGGAAGATAAGTCAGAACCCCAGATCAACAAACGAACTGTCGGTTCTACTGTTTGAATAGATAAAAACAATTGATCACTTAATAATATGATATGGTTTATGCTCTTGTTCTGGGAGATTGAGATTCAACAAATCTGCTTTCTTCAATTCAGAACCTACCGATTCCAGAAGAATCTCCTCTCAATCAGTCTTAACTTTGTGAAGAAAAGTGAACTATATTCTCTAGGGGTAAACGACCCACCACCACCCCATATTGGACCTCACCTAACCTAATTTCTGGGATAAGAATATAATGTTTCAAGTTCAACATAAACTGTGAGGCTTTAGCATAGACTGTTTCAGTCACCTACCAAGCAACCACCTGTATATACTATATCCAAGTTACATCAAACTCATCATGAAACATCTAAATATAATTGGGCAGCGTGGTAGTTATATATTCGGATAAATGTCTTTCATTTGCATTAAATCTACTAGAACATAATATCGCCTGGCTGAAGTCATTGCCACATGCTTTCATAAAACTTGAAGCTCCAAGAATTTTAACGATAATTTTCACTAAAAGTCGCTATAAAAGTCGGAAGTGGAAGAATTTTTCATAATAAAACCCTTTCACATTTGAATTGCCTGGAGAGTCGTAAATTTTGGTTTTAACTTCGATAAAAGCTGAGCCCATTCGAGATAGAGAATAACCCGACCCGCAATGGCTTGGCAACATGTGCGCGAGAAATAATACTGTCTGATTTTTTTAGGCGTGAAATAATGAATGTTGTCACGGAGTACGAGGTTTTTTTCAACACGTCACCGAATACTGAACTTAATGGGATGTGAATCATGTTAGAGATCATAATTTTGGTATAATCCCTGAAGATGCATGTGCATGGGGATGAATGCTCTACTTCAGCCATTTTTAAACTTTCTTCTCAAGAATCGGTCTCAATATCCAGACCTCAATGCAGCGTAGTCTCTTGTGGTTATTTGTGTTTTAGATATGACTTATTGTTTTCATAATCCACATTTCAATGAACTGGTGTGGAGAGCATGATACCTAATTGCGGTCACTGTAACCTATATGATGTTTTTTTTTTAAATAATGTTTTTCTATCATGCATGAGTGCATGAATATTATGAAAATAATAAGCGAGGTTACCATGTTCCTGTAATTTGTGTTAGAGACTTTATCGAGGAACCACTGAGGAACACAAATCATTGAAGTTTCGTAAAACAATTCCGTAACTATGAAGGAATATACGAAGATTGATGACCTCCAACAATCTTTCCAGAACTATCTGCTTTGAATTTCATGAATCACCTGCGATTGCCCTTTTCGATACCCCCATATCAGTGCATCTCTAGACCAACAAGTGAGGTTGACAATCTCTTCCTTGCAGGATCGTCAGCCGTTTCTGACGATCCTTCATATTCTGGAATCCATGATGGTATGACTTTTTCGTGGGTGTCTGTTTCTATAGTTCTTTGCCGCATGCTCATATAACAGTTGAGAAGAACCTGATCCGCCTATTTTAGGAAACTTTCATAGGTATTTTAGAAGATTCATGTTGTATGAAACCATGCACGACCTTCTCAGATCCATTATGGAACTATCTTGCTCAACGTATGCTATCTAGCCCACCTTTCCTATTGTGGTCTAATAGTGACTTCTGCTGGAACCTAGCGGCTATTCACAACAAAATATTGGTCTTTTCAAGACTTCGCAGTTGCCTCTAGGTTATGGGCAAGTGTTTTCTTGAAATTGGGAATGTGCTTCTTTTGTCGAGAACAATCTTATGCCTTCTCCAGCGAGAGTGCCCAGTTAGCAACACAATATCTTGGCCTTGCTTCCATTAGCAATATCGTCGTACTGCAAAATGGTATGCATGTTCTGATTCCCAAGCTAGGGTCACCTTTTTTTTTTTCTATAAAGCTTCACCAGACCGCCTTGAAATTTTTTTGCTAAAAGTCGATCGTATTTATTGCTCTTATATATTATATGTATCATTCTCAAACATCACTATAAACACATCTTAATTGTTTCACTAAACATAGTAATTCGAATTATAAACAATGTCTGTACATGTAATATATGAATACAGATCAGAATAAATTCACTCAAAATAATTATTTCCACTTAGCTACAATTTCCACACTCGTCGATATTGTTACTCAAACAGTCAACACATCAATATCCCTTGTCAATACCCACCATACACATAAGCGAATATAAATCAAACATGACTCAATTTGACTAATGCAGTCTTCACTTATTCAAAACAATTTCCTAATGTTTTATTCGTAAATAGTGTGATACTTTTTCTAGACATGCCATTTTGACATTAGAAGAAATGAACAAGCTGGATTATGACCTCTGGAAACTTTGGAGTGATAAACACCCCAGAAAATGATGGATATATTATATATCCTCGATATACAGTGATGATATTTCTGAACGTGATTTCCAATGTGTTTTCATCAGTGTAATATCACAATGTTCTGAATATTCGAGATAATTCTATCGATTCATTGCTCACGAAATTGTGTTGCTGAGCAACACCACGAGTCCGTCAGGACGCAACACTGAAAAATAGAATTATGAGTAGATATTCAGAAAGGAGTGGTATTTCGCTAGACTATTTCACGTTCACATAGCATAAAAAGTATTTATTATAAATGAGTGATTCATTCTGACAAGTACAGTCATGATTATTTTATGCCAAACTGACAGACTTTGCTTCGCTATCCATGGTTACATCGTTGAAAACATCAACGCTGATAGACCAGAGAAAATTGTAAGACAGCTTATGTTTTCGCGATAAACACACGTTGTCTCTGGATGTGATTGGTCAGATTATGTGATGAGTGAAATTTCCTACTCAACACTATGAATGCTGCGACATAATTGAAATTTTTTGGAATACATTTTGAGGTCCAACATTTAAGATATATGAATGAAAATAAAAACAGGATGCAAAACAGAATTGAAATATAAAAGCTGGAATTCCACCAATATGGTGGTTTGAGGGGCGTGATCAGAAAGAATTATTCGATCAATGATAATGATAATAATAATAATGATAGCAATGAATCAGATTCATTGACGAGATGGATGGAAATTCATAATGTTGAGGAAAATGAATTTGACATAAAACATAAAACAACTTCATTGAGTTTAATGGTTCAACAATCGATAAATGTGTTCGACTGCTCCTTACTCCTACTGTGCTGTGTGATCTGCAAATATAAAATATACTTTTTCTGCAACCGACGTAAAAGTCCTCCATTTTGATGACAAAATTAGCTCTTGACTTGACGTTTCTATTACTGACACAAAAATAGGTATGTTGCTAGGCTTTAGCTCCTAGGAACTAAAAAGGATGTACTAGAGGTCATTAAGAATAAACAACATTGTTATGGTTGGTTATTCGGGTTGGGACGCATACCATATTTGTTTCCGATTTCGACAGATTTGGCATTCACACTAGTGTATATAATCAAGGGTATAGTTGGGTATTTTTGGTTCGGTCAGGAAAGCCTTCATGATTCACATATTTGCTTGATCTGTATTTCATTCGTTATTCCCGAGATGGATAACTTGCTTTTGAATAATCACGGCCATCCAGTTTTTGTCTCAAACAACGATATTGTTCACCTACATCTGATTATCAAGCCAAACACAGTGGATATGCTCACTAACCTAACATTTTCCATGTCTTATTGTTCCTATATCTGGCACTGGCGCGTTATTTGGCATTAGGACGTCTGGTCCATACACAAAATATGTCACTCTGTGCAGTCTGTTGTTGTATTCATATTGAAACTACAATTCGAACATCCTTGAAAATTGAATAAACCTGCTGTTAATGCAGGTACAATATTCTCACCACACGGATTATTTGTTGCATTTCATACATAATATGGTACAGCATTGGTATGGTTACTTCATATATTTATTTGAGTTAATTGTTTCGGTTGCAGAAAAAAAAGCATGTTCCATTCGGATCAAAATTGCCTTTGTTTGACTCGCAAATATTGCTTTCGCTCGGCTTCGCTAAACTCTCTCTACTATCATCTGCAACCGAGACAAAAGTCGTTCATTTCAATTCCAAAATTAGCTCTTGAATTGACGTTTCTATTACTGACTCAAACATAGGTATATTGCTAGGCAAGACCGTCAGTTCCTAGGAGCTAAAGTTGAACTTCAGCTCCTAGGAACTGAAAATAATGTACTATATAGGTCAACAATAAAAATAAAAGACATTGTTATGGTTGGTAATTTGGGTTGGGATGCACCATTTGTACCAAGTCAAGTGAGTCACATTGGTGGTTACTTCACATATTTATAATATATAAGTCTTCCGGTCGCAAAAAAATAGCATATTTGATTTGGATCAAAAGTGACTTTGTTCGACTCGCAAATTTTGCTTTCGCTCGACTTAGCTAGACGGTCGGCCTTGCAAACAAAGTGTCACTTTTGATCCTAATAAAACAATCTACTATTTGCTGTTTCCCAAAGTGACTGACACCAGAGTAACTCCTACTCCCACCAGCTTAGTCATCAATCACATAATCACACCACAAGCGATAAGATGGGCGGTTAACTCGTTCCACCCATACAAATCGCCAGGAGAGGATGGCATAGCTCCAGTTCTGTTACAAATCGGACTGGAACTTATTGTACCTATACTCACAAGACTCTTTAGAGCCAGTTTAGCCTGGAACTACATTCCACCCAACTGGACTGCGACTAGGGTGATCTACATTCCGAAGATGGGTCGGACTGACCCACACCCTAAATCGCTCAGACCCATTAGTCTGACATCCTTTCTGTTGAAAAGCATGGAGAAAATACTGGATGGACACATGAGGTGCGGTGTACTAACAAAACACCCCCTTAATGTTCACCAGTATGCCTACCAAGCTGGCAAATCAACAGAACTTGCCCTCAATAACCTGGTCTCAGGAATAAACGACGCCCTGGAACAACAGGAGATAGCAGTCGCAGCATTCCTGGACATAGAAGGAGCATTCAACAATGCACTACCTCATTCCCTCTATGAGGCTACTGCCTCCAGGGGAATTGAACCAATACTATGTGACTGGATAAGAACTATGCTTCATAGCAGAACCATAACGACCTCCCTACAGGGGGAAAGTGTCAGCTTCAAGCCAGCCAGGGGCTGCCCGCAGGGGGGAGTCCTCTCCCCTCTGCTGTGGTCACTGCTGGTGGATGATTTGCTGGCCATTCTCTCGATATGGGAGGTCGATCTGCAAGCATATGCTGACGATCTGGTCCTAGTAATACGAGACAAATCC